TGTAGTTCCAGCTACTTGGAAGGCTGAGGCGGAAGGATCGCCGGAGCCCAGCAGGTCAAGGCTGCGGTGGCCAGGAGCAGCCACTGCATGCCAGTCTGGGCAACAGAGTGAGACTCCAACTCAAAAAAAAAACACAAAAAAAAACCTGTTAATATTTTATTAGTTTGCAGCAGAAGAAATCTTGAATTTAAAGAAACTATAGTCTATGACACATCTTGAAAAGGAATCAATTGATGAAATAAAATCTTGTTTTCCTCTCAGTGTTTTCTATTTTTAAAAAAAATTCAGGCTGCAAAAGAAAATTTTAAAACATGTTTTTAAACTCAGGGAAACTGGTTTGTTAACATCTGGTTTAATAAAATAAGTATTCGAGACCCGCCTGGGCAACTTGGCGAGACCTCATCTCTACAATAAATCAAAAATTAGCCGGGCGTGGTAGCGCGCGCCTGTAGTTCCAGCTACTTGGAAGGCTGAGGCGGAAGGATCGCTGGAGCCCAGCAGGTCGAGGCTGTGGTGGCCGGGAGCGTGCCACTGCACTCCGTCTGGGTGACAGAGAGACTCCAATTCAACAAATAAATTTAAAAAAAAATAAGTAATGTTTGTTTCAGCCCAGTTGTCAGCCAGATACTATTCTGGGCTCTAGAAATAGTAAAGAAGAAGGAAAGAAACAAACCCTGTCTTGTAGAATTTGTGGATTCTTTGAGAATTCAGTGGGAAAGAGGTGGCTAAAGGAAATGGAAAAGGAGCAGGCAAGTTGCAATGTTTTCAGGGTTTTTCACAGAAATAAGTTACAACAATACTGTGCTGTAGAATGACGCTCCCCAATCTCTTTGGCCTCAGGGGCTGCTTTTGTAGAAGACATTCTTCCCACGGACGGGAGAGAGGAATCATCAGGATCATCAGGCATTAAATTCTCGCGAGGACCAGGCAAACTAGGTTCCTCGCGTGTGCAGTTCACAATAGGATTTGTGCACCTGTGAGAATCTAATGCCGCTGCTGATCTGTCAGGAGGTAGCGCTCCAGTCCCTGGCCACTCACCTCCTGCTGTGCGGCCCCGTTCCTAACAGGCCACAGACCGAATCACAAATGCGGAGAGTTTCACAAGATGCTCAAAGAAGGAATGGAGGCAGCTAGGAGAGAACTGACAGCATTCTGGAGACAGTGGTGACCTAGCCCAGTTTTGGAAGAAAAATAGGAGTTCCCCAGGAAGTGAGATACTCATTTTTCCATTCAAATGTTTGTATTCCATCTACCCTGAACAATTAATTGATAAAAAATAGGCATCTCCAATGCCTCTCCAAGGATGATGCCTCTTTGAAATGACAATGAACAAACTGGGCAAATGAGAGGAGTGACTGTGGCAGGAGACGGTGAGATCTTAAAGAGCTGTTTTCTTCAGGTCCTGAATCTGTTTAATCAAGTAGCTTTTCTCATCAGCGAACTACTCATCATCTGTCCTGTCTTTCTGGAAGCTGCTCAGAAACCCAGTGAGCTTAGGTTGATTTTTCAGTAGAATCTCCACCATCAGCTGTGTTTTGTGAGGACTGGCCAGAAACACCTTAAAAACATGAAAGGCTTCAAACTGGATGTTGGGTCTTTTATCTCGAAGGAGGTTCATCATTAGTTTCAGGTTCTCTGGCTTGCGTGTATATTTTGTCATAGTGGTGAATTATGGCAGTCCAGGATCAGCTCACCTAGCAGCTTTAGAGATTGTCTCTTGGTCACATAATTCTCAGACTGAAGCGATTTCTCATAGTCTTCAAAAATAGTGTCATAATTTTGTTCTAAGAAGTCTGCTATTGGCCAGGCTCGGTGGCTCAGCCTGTAATCCCAGCACTTTGGGAGGCCAAGGTGAGTGGACTGCCTGAGCCTGCAGGTTCGAGACCAGCCTGGGAAACTTGGCGAGACCTCGTCTCTACAATAAGTCAAAAATTAGCCGGGCACAGTAGCATACGCCTGTAGTTCTGGCTACTTGGGAGGCTGAGGCAGAAGGATCGCTAGAGCCCAGAGGTCGACACTGGGGTGGCCATGAGCATGCGTGCCACTGCACTCCAGCCTGGGCGATGGAGTGAGACTACAACTCAAAAAAAAAAAAAAAAAAAGTCTGTTACCAACACTTTACGTCTGGTTAGTAAATCCTTAAAAGTAGCAAAGGCATCTTGGGCAATATCAAATGTTGACAACTGCACATACTTAAAGAAGTCTCGGAATTGATTGAAAAGAAGGTGACTTTGGCAAGTGGTTCATGCCAGGTGCATTCTCTCAGCGTGATCCCACAACGTAAGGCAATCTGTGGGGCTTCCTATCCTTGGAGGATCATAAACAGAATAGGAGGATGGGCACTGATGTACTCCACAGCAGAACTCTGAGTTCCTATCTGCCTTCTCAGGATTTTGTTAGATATCTGGGTCCCACCTTGCTTCCCTCCAAGTCTATCTGCTGTAGACCAGCGATCAGCGTCACCAGCAGCCCGCTATCGCAGAGTTCTTGCGCTCGCTGAGCTACCACTTCTGTTGGTGGCTCTTTGTCACTCACACCACACACAATGGCTTTCGTTGCCTGCGGGGACTTCAACACTTCTGAAGCCTTGTCCATCTTCTTGTCTTGCTTTTCCAAAATAGCCATGTTGTCTTTCAGAATTTTTACAATTTCTGCTGGATTTTTGTGTGATTTACTGAGCAAAGGCATATTTTTCATTACAGAAGTCTCTTCTGACATGGAATGGTTAGAAGCTCTATATCATTTGCAACTTTGTTCTACTGTTCTCAGCCTTCACTGAAGCCGCTGATCAACACAGCTTCTCTCTCTTCTTTAGTACACGATTCTTGCATGACAAATGTATAAACCGCTGATTTGGGGTCTGCATCTTTATTTTTTGAGCGGCAACCACAGGTTTAAACAGAACACACGGCTCCTGATGCTCTCGTATAGTCGGGGGAAACAGCTGCGCCACCACTCCAGTGATGCCAGCCTCTTGACTTCCTAGAAGGTGAGATTCTATGCAAAGATGTGGGTGGGTGACAATCTTTGTAGAGAATCTCTTATAAGTGATCGAGAAAGATGAAGCTTGAGAAGAAGGTGGTGATTAGTGGCAAATGGCCTTTTTTCCATACTCAGGAAATTACAGCATCAATAAAGATTTTAAGTAAGGGAAACTTTTCTGGCAACAATGTATAGCGGGTTAATTTAGGAGGTGGTGATTGCTGAACAGCCTGAAGGCTAGTGGTATAGGATGTTACAGTAATTTGACAGGTGAAGGAGACTCTAAGGATAGTGGGGCAAAGAACATGTGACAGATACTAATGTAGTTAGGAAAAGGCATGGTTTTTGTAATCTTCTCATTGGGAAGGTGAGTGAGGAGAAGAGAGGATTAACTCCCAGGTTTCTGCCTTTGTTACCTGGATGGATGGTGGTGCAGTGCACCAAGATCGGCAATACAGGAGCAAACAAGTTTGATTTTTATATGTGTTAAATTGGTCGCCCAAATCTAAACGGAAAATATGAGCTGGATATCTAGAGTTAGGAATAATTAACATATAGTTGTTAGTGAAAAGCACAGCATGTGAAGTTGGCTAGGAGAGTGTACAGATTAGAATGAGCAACAAAGAAACTATGGATAAACCCCAGGAAAGCATCAGTATGTAAGATGTTGATGGAGGAGAAGGAATTGAACTAAGATAAAAAGGAATGACGCTTTAGGTAGAAAAGGTACAGGAGTGCCGGGCTCGGTGGCTCAGCCTGCAATCCCGCGCCTTTGGGAGGCTGAGGTGAGTGGATTGCCGGGAGCAGCCACTGCACTCCAGTCTGGGCGACCGAGTGAGACTCCGACTCAAAAAAAAAAAAAGAAAAAGAAAAGGTACAGGAGTGATGTCACCAAGCTCCAAAGAGAATCCCAGATGGTCTGCAGTGTCATGTGCTATAAATCAAGTAATAAGGGAAGAGCAAATTGGT